TCCACTGACAAACTAGAAAGCATTTCTGCTCATTTTAATACCGAAACATCTTTGAAACCAAATGAAATGAATCTCGAAGAACATAAGGCCATGAAGGGAAGGACTTCGGGCTGGAGGTCAGAGCACCTGAGCTGTTCTTGGGACTTCCCCTACCAACAGGCTCTGCGGCTTTTCCAAGTCACTTCGCCTCTTTAAACCAACTTCTTCCTCTATTGACTTAGAGTTGGACTAGAGAGTTCTTCCTGGTTTAAAATTTTCATGATTTTATTTTTGGAGAAATCTGAAGCCCCAGTGGAGAGGGACAAAACAGAAAGTGTGATTTGGACTCATCCACTTAAGTCACGTTGATGATTTCCCAGCCCCTTTCCCCTGTCTATCAGGCTCCTCTTAAATGTGTGGCCACCTTGTCAGGTGACACACACTTGAAAAGAGAACGTTTCCACACTAAACCCAGACCGGCCCACACTAACGGTGCCCCAGAAGGATGGACCTCGGGATGACAAGGTACAGAAGTTACGTAGAGAATGAGGTCCGAGGATCGAATGTAAAACATGGTCACTTCAGTTGTTAATGCCGTATTGTGTAACTGAAATTTGTTAAGATAGAACTACAATGTTCTCACCCCCAAAATAATATGTAAAATGTGAAGTGATGGGTGTGTTAACTCAATGCGGGGAATTCTTTCACAACGTATGTGTGCATCAACTCATCACATCGCACACTTTGAGTCTCTGATGATTTCATTTGCCAATTATACCACGATAAAGCTAAAAAAGCTAAAGTTGACAAGTCAGAGAGGTTGCTCCCGAACACAGTGTTTTTGATCATCAACCGTAACTCTCCCTCCTTACCCGGGGTACTAACGGGACTTTATTCAAGGGCAGCGTTGGGGTGTTTATCGCTATCACATAGTAAGAGGCTGTTCTCCAAGTCCTCACTCCCCTTTCTTGCTGGCATTCCCCACATCCCCCTCTGGGCCCAGGTGGAGATCTCTCCAGCTCCTTTCTCCACCCTCTCACAGCCGTGCCCCTGACTTCCCGGCTCCCTCACACTGGACCAGCTCACCCCAGAGGGTCTGCTCTTTCTGAACTCACTGGACCATGTCCAGAGCTTCCCCGAGGGAGGGCTACAGAGACGCAGTAAAGTCAGAGCGAACGCTCACTCTTCCCGGTCAGCAGTGAATGATGTCTGGGACTCGAGTGACCTGCTGGCAAAGGGACAGGGAGAAGAGAGAAAGGTGCGACTTTTCTGGAAAGCACTTCAATAATTTAAGTGAAGACTCTTTAAAACATTTCTATTTTATGACTTATTCTTATTTTTCTTATCCTTAAGAAATCAGAAGAGATTCAAACAAATCAATCCAGAGAGAAGAAAAGGGCTGCCTGAGCTCTGGTGCCTGTGGCTCTAAGTAACAGAAAACGACAAAGTGTCTTAAATAACAAGCACATGTGCAGAGAAATCTGCAGGTACAATGGCCTTCAGGGTTGGTACATTTAGCAGCTCAGACACGTGGTCTAAAGTAAGCAGAAGTTCTTTCCATCTCTCTGCTCTTCCGGCTCCAACATTGGTCGCATGCTGGGTTTGGTTCCCCTAGTGGCCAACAGCACCAAACGGCAATCACCAGCATTCTCAGTCATGTCCAAATGGAGATGGAGAAAGGCTGATTTCACAGGCTCTTCCTGAAAAGTAAGAAAAGCCCTAGTCAGGTGGCTCAGTTGTTTGAAGCATCGTCCCATACACCAAAAGGACGTGGGTTCGATTCCTGGTCAGGGCACAAGCTAGGTTGTGAGTTCGATCCTTGGTCAGGACACATATGGGAGGCAACCCATCAATCTTCCTCTCCTCTCTCTCTAAAACCAATAAACACATCTTCAGGTGAGAATTTAAAAAAAAAAATAAGAAAGGATTTTCCCAGAAGCTTTCAGCAAATCTCTCATTGGCCAGAACTGGGTCATATGCTAATTCAAAATCAGTCACTAGCTGGGAAGCAAACGATGGTGGTAGAGAAGCTAGTTACCCTTAAACCAATAGCCCTACCCCTTCCCACGGAGATCAGTTCCCAAGTGCACTGCTTCAGTTCTGTAAGGAGGAGGGCAATAAGGAGTAAATCCCCTTATGCACTCCGAAAATCTGTTGGTAACATCCCTCTGGTTCTGACGATGGAGGTAGCTGAACTAAAACAACTTTGACCATGATCTAGGGAAAGAGAGGATGAACTGATGAGGTCTTCATTTTTAGAGAAGCTGTGATTTGGGTCCATTCTGAAACACAACCATTCGTGGTTACTGCTCACTTCTAAGAAATTTTCTACAGCTGAACATTTCCAATGTGTTTTACAGTCCTCACATATGATCACAGCCCACCTTACTGTTCTTTGCTAGATCAACAATTTTTTCTGAATTGTCTTGCTCTCCTTAATCACATGCAATTTTAAACTAGTTGTTACCGACACTCCTTTCCTCCCTGGCAATGTTCTTAGGTCAATCCCACATCAAATTAAGGGAACTCGGAAAAAGGAAATCCTACAGCAAACTGCCATGTGCCTGACAACTTCATTTTAAATAAGTAATCCTCAAAGATGGCAACTTGGCAAAGAGAGCACTTAACCCTCTCTGCCCGGAAGGCCCATCTCTTGGGGCTGCATCAGATTATTGGCCTGAAATCCCAGCACTTGTAGGTTAAGGACACACACACACACACACACATACACACACAGGAGGGACGGTATCTCCAGCATCAAAGGTGTAGGTTTTCGCTCCCTTTTTCCCATTCCTGCTCCTCCCAAAACTTTCAGAGGTAAACGTTTAGGATTCTGGGGAACATTTCAGCACACATTAGGGACCAGCAGTGATGTGGGTGAGCTTCTAGCAGCTGTCCGAACACCCCTCCCCCGTTATCCTTCTTTTCACGGGAACAACTGGCAAACCGTGGCTCGGAGGAAGGCCTGTGTGTTTAACTTCTGTAATCCTGTCAGTTTTCTCTGACCAGGAAACTCTTTCCTGCTGCCATATAGGTCACCTTCCAATCTGTAAAGTGGGTAGAAGGTTAAAATGTTTCTCCCTGTTTTGTTAAAAGAAGTTAAGTTCCAGGAAAACTCCAGAGGGACTCCTACAGACACTTAGTCCAAAAGTGGCTATCCTGAAGGGCTAAGGTAGAGGAGATGATTTTTACAAAAAAACAGATGTGCCCTGTGCTTGTGGACCTCTCGTGGGCCTCAAGCCCTCAGCTGACCTGTGTAAAATTAGCAAATGGCAAAGGGGCAGGGGCCACAAACTGGCCATTCCTCGGAGAACTGTTCCCAACTAAGTACCTAGTGTCATGATAAATTAGTAGCAAATGACAAAAAAAAAAAAAACACTCTTCAGGGATCAAACAGGATGCTAGGGAAGGAGAGCGAAGGGGAGGGAGGTGTATGGCTGCTGACTGTGGAATCTTCAGATCTGTTTGGATGAGTCACTGCCTGTGACTTCCACAACAGGAATCCGATTTGACTAATCATCTGATAGAGACTTTTATTTCTATCTTTCAACATGTGAAATCTCTCTGACTTTTGGGTTTAGTTATTAAGCAACAAACAAACGTGTATCTTAGGAACATAGTTGTCATCTTCTAGAGGTACTGGATATATACTGAGTAACTGGAAAACACTCACTCCGTAATCCACACACATGTACACATGCACCTTGTCACACAGCACTCCCACACAATAAAAGTGAAATTGCTGTTTGATGGATGTAAACTTGTGGGTGTTTCCAGCAATTAGGAGTCCTGCCAGGTGTGAGTGCTGAGAAGGAAGGTGAACCCCAGGGCTTTCCCTGTCTGAGCCGCGATTGATGAAGCTACTACCTGTGCTCTGTGTCTCGGGCCAGGGGACCACAGCAAGGGAAGCGTGGCTGCTGGTCATCCCAGACCAAAGAGATGAATGGAATTCCAGGCAGCTGGAGTCATGCTGGCTTGGGACAGTGGCTTGGAGACCAGACTTGCAATGACAGAAGCGTTAAGTGGTAGCGCTCATGGCAACTGGTGCACCCACAGAAATGTGACCCACACCTCGGTTTCAGGAGCCGAAAAATGAAAAGAACGTTTAGGGAGGAAAAAAAGGAAATAAAATAATAGGCAGAGGGTAATTTATTACTCCATGAGTCTGTTCTGTAAATAGTTTTAGACCCTGGAGCCAGATGGTTCTGCAAATCCTCCAACCAGGAGTCACGTTAAGAAGCACGAGTGGGCACACAAACTGTTTTTCAAGACACAATTTCAATTTGGCTTGAGGGAACTGGATACGAGCAAGTTTCCTTAACATTCCTGACTAGAAAGAAATTGTCCTCTCAGGTCCCCTTGATCAGAATACGCATACCGCCCCCAAGCGGCAAGCCGTGGAAGCACGGAGAAGCGACTTGCGCGGGGACTCCGACTGCAGTCACTGCAGAAAGTGTACCCGGAGGGGCAGCGCAGCGAGAACGCGAGCTCTCTGCACCGACCTGCCAGCCAGCGCGACACCGCGCTCACCTCCTCTAGCAGGTCAGGCGGAGGGCAGGCGAGGGCACGGGCATGGCTTCGCGAAGCCCGGCGCGTGGCCCCCCACCCCACCTGCACGGATGGATGAGGGGCCATCGTCCAGCCATTCAAAGAGGCAGATTTGTCTGAAAGCCCCCTAATGGTCTTAGGTGGGTGACCGTCGCTGGTGGAGATGCTCACACTGAATACATTCTGCCTTCGTGGCGCAACAGCGAAAGTGCTGAGCCGGCGTGCGCCAAGGCCGCGTGGGCGTGCACCTCTTTTTCTGAGAAGTTCCAGGGCTCTCCGAACCCGACCCCCACCTCCTCCTTCACATTCTAGCTGGAAAGCTGTGCGCTGAGCGGCGGGGGGCGGAGAGAGGAACCCAGACTGGCCCCCCTCCCGCTTCCTGCCCGGCCGCCTCCCATTGGCCAGAGGAATGCCCAGGAATGTCAGCACCGCTTTAAAAGAGCGTGGCTCCTCCACCTCGCCAGCCAGTGCAGCCGAGCCGGCCGGCGCCTCCTGACTCCTGCGAGCTCTCCCCGCGCACCCTCCGACTCCGGCCGCCTTCCCGGCGCTCCACGCTCACCAGGACTCGGCGCCCGTCGCACCTTCCTTGCCGCCACTCCGGGCCACTGCGCCCGTGTACACACAGGTAAGGGGTCTGCGGGCAGCCGCAGAGGACCAGCGCTGCCCTGGCCATCCGCCTCGGGCGACGAGGCTCCAGCCCCTCAGGGACCTCGGACCCCATCTTGTCCGTCCCAGCTGTTGGGGGGCGGGGGGGGCGGGGCGGCGTTCTCCTTGTGGAAGAGCTCCAGAGCCCTCTTCTCCAGATTTGGGGCTCATAAACCACTTCTCAGGACACCCCAAGAATTTTTCTAAACATTAAGTCCCCCCTAAATCTTTCTGTCAGTCCCCTAGAGAAGAGTCCACTTCCCCATGCCCTCCTGGTTCTGCTGTTTACCCTCAACTTCCCAAGGAAAACCCCCAGATGGTTGGTTTTTAAGCTTCTCTTTAAAACCAGTCTCCTGCCTCCAACTCTCACTTTCTTCCCGATGCCCTGATGTAAAGTGAATTCTGGTTTCCCTCATTCCAGCAGATGTAGGACAGGGGGATTCCCAGGGACCTGGCCCCATGCCCAGCCCCCAGTTGTTGCCACTCTCCCTGCTTTGCCACCTCTTACCTTGGGCTCCGCTTCCTGATGCAGGCTCCCTGCTGGGCGCAGACAGCTCCGCCATGGGACTGGCCTGGGGACTCAGGGTCCTGTTCCTGTTGCTTGTGTTTGGCTGCAGCCGCAGTTCAGGTGAGTCCCTACAATGCCTTTGAGTGGGGAGGGAAGATGTGGAGGTGCCAGGTGCCCCAGGTGTGCCTCCCTCCCTCCCAGCTCTCCTCTCCCAGCTGTTTTCTCTGAGCTTTGACTGGACCAGGTTGCAGGTTCTTTCTGACCATGGTGTTCATCAGCTCATTCTGTAGTTTTCACCCTCTCTCTCTGGCCCCGCCCCTAAAAGCTGAGTCTCCCCACCCTGGCCCCGGGTCTAGGAAGCTCACACTGTGTCCTGCTTCTGTCTCACAGAGGCTGGGGGAGACAACAGCGTGTTTGACATCTTTGAACTCACGGGAGCTGCCCGCAGGGGCGCTGGGCGCCGACTGGTGAAGGGTCCTGACCCTTCCAGCCCAGCCTTCCGCATCGAGGATGCCAACCTGATCCCCCCTGTGCCTGATGACAAGTTCCAAGACCTAGTGGATGCTGTGCGGGCAGAGAAAGGTTTCCTCCTCCTGGCCTCCCTGAGACAGATGAAGAAGACCCGAGGCACACTGCTGGCAGTGGAGCGGAAAGACCACTCTGGCCAGGTCTTCAGCGTGGTCTCCAATGGCAAAGCGGGCACCCTGGACCTGAGCCTGACCGTGCAGGGGAAGCAGCATGTGGTGTCGGTGGAAGAAGCACTCCTGGCCACCGGCCAGTGGAAGACCATCACCCTGTTTGTGCAGGAGGACAGGGCCCAGCTGTACATCGACTGTGAGAAGATGGAGAATGCTGAGCTGGATGTCCCCATCCAGAGCATCTTCACCCGGGACCTGGCCAGTGTCGCCAGGCTCCGCATCGCAAAAGGAGGTGTCAATGACAATTTCCAGGTGAGGCCTCTTCTCTGTGGGATGGACTGCTAGCCAGTTGGTCTGTCAGGAGGGCTGTAGCAAGAGAGGCAAGTGTCCCAGTCGAGGAAACACTGCCTGTGGACTATGACTGTGGTTCTTAAACTCCAGGGAGTATCAGAGTCACCAGGAAGCCTTGTTAAAACAGCCAGCCCTTTTCAGATTCAGTAGGTCTGGGCTGGAGCCTGATTAATTTGCATTTCTAACAAGGTCCTGATGGGGCTGATGTTGGGGATGGGTATGCTGGGGACCTCACTCTGAAACCTATGGAAGGAAACAAAGGGTTTTCCTGTAAGAGCCTGTTCAAGCCTTAGGTCCTTTACTGTCCTCAAGAAAAGAACATTTCAGATGCATCCAACCAACTGTAACATCGCTTGAAATGTTAACATCAGACACTTGGTTCAAGCAGAAAAAGTACCACTTTGCTATTTGATCCCCCGGGGGATGTAGTGGGTCTCAGATAAAAGGTTACAGCAGTGGCGATGTGCTGCTGCAGCTCCTTCCTTGCTTCAACTTCTAGGTCTTTACAACTGTGGCTTTGAAACTCCCACATTTAACTTTTGGACACTGAAGAGTGTCACTATATCCTCCGGCGTAATATCAGATTCCACTTCCTGTGTACCCAAGTAGGCTGATAACTGAATTCTTTGCAAAATACTGAAGACTTGGCAGAAGACACAATTAAGATTTTGAAGTTGTCTGGCAGTTTATGTTGGTGTGATATTTTGACATGGTGACCTCAAAAGGGACCTCTTTCAGACTTTGAGAACGTCAGTCGTGTGCTTTTCCTAGCATAAACAGTCTCCCCTCCCACATCCGTCCCCACGACACCCTGCAAGTAATGCGTGTTTTCTGCCCACAGGGGGTGCTGCAGAATGTGAGGTTTGTCTTCGGAACCACACCAGAAGACATCCTCAGGAACAGAGGCTGCTCCAGCTGTGAGTACCCTTCTGCTTTTAGGGTGCATGGGGAAATTGGGGAGCTTCTACCCAAAACAAGCCGAGAAACTTAAACAGTGTTGGTTGTGTATAAATTACCCCGGGCAACATAGGTAAGAGGTACATAAAAGTGACCTTGAAGGCTATTCCACACACACGTCCACCCCTGGTGGGTGTCTTTTACACCTAGAACACTGGGGGCTGGTGGCAAAATGTCTTTTACAACTAGGAACACTGGGGGCTGGTGGCGAGAGCATCTCCTGTTACTCTTCTCATCGTGTGTTTCTTGGTTTCTTGGCAGCTACCAACGTCCTCCTCACCCTTGACAACAACGTGGTGAATGGCTCCAGCCCTGCCATCCGCACTAACTACATCGGCCACAAGACGAAGGACCTGCAAGCCATCTGCGGCATCTCCTGCGATGAGCTGTCCAGCATGGTCCTGGAGCTCAGGGGCCTGCGCACCATCGTGACCACACTCCAGGACAGCATCCGCAAAGTGGTCAGTGGCCTCCACTCCCAGCCCTATAGCAGGAGCCCCTGGAGCTTTAGCCTTTAGTGTGATCCCAACGGACCAAACAAGAGGTGGACACTGATGAGCTTTCTCCCCCTTTTAGACTGAAGAGAACAAAGAGTTGGCCAATGAGCTGAGGCGGCCCCCGCTCTGCTACCACAATGGAGTCCAGTACAGGAACAATGAGGAGTGGACCGTCGACAGCTGCACGGAGTGCCGCTGTCAGGTGAGGGTCTTTCCCAACTGAAACACACACTGATGGCAGGTGTTCGATGCCGCGGTCTCTGGGGAAATGCCAGTGGGCCACACAAGCTCTTTCTATGTTCTATGGCTTGATACCGAACTGTGTGTGTGTATGTGTGTGTGTGTGTGTGTGTGTGTGTGTGTGTGTGTGTGTAAGATGTAATTATGACATCGACAGAATCTATTTAAACTCTCACAAAGTTTTCCAAAGGCTTAATTATACCCCAAGCTAAGTATCAAAAAGAACAAATCGAAGACAGCTGAGTAACTTGCCTGCCTCATTTCAAAGACTCAGTGTTGAATGTCAGGTACACAACACCTGGCTGGAGCTTGCCCCAGCCCTGATTTGTATGCAGCTATGACAGGAGGTTCTTTCAACACAGTGGTGACTATTGAGATGACTCAGCCCGACACTGTCGGACGTAACCGTCTGCTGAGCTCAGGGGGCACGTCCTGCAGCACGTGCCACTCTAGCTCTCCCCAGGGCCAGCGGCGGGTGAGTCTGGGAGCTGACCCGGCTCGTTAAGCAAAGTCAAGCTTAAATACAAATCCTGGATTGCTGGGTTTTACTAAAATCTTTAGTAAATTCCCATCCAGGTCTGTACAGGAGGGAAAAATATGCTCATCCAGCTTCTTTTCCCCACAGACATAATAATTTTAAATTTAAAAGTACCAGCAGAGTTTTGAGTTCTGTTAATCTGCACCTGAAATTGATCTGACCCGTGACATTTGGTGATTCCCTTTGGATAAATTCTTCGTGCGGCACCTTCCACCGGTGACAGAGTAGCGCTCCCCCAGGATGGAGTGATGAGCAGCCCGCACTAGGACTGTGTCTGCGATGCTGGTGGCAGAGAAGGGAGGCCTGGAGGCCATATATAGCTGTGACCATTCATCTTATAACTGAAGTGTTAAGTAGTATGTCACCTTCCGTTTGCAATATGCTTAGTGACCCATTTCCTCCTCCCTCTTGCCCTGCAGAACTCCGTTACCATCTGCAAAAAGGTGTCCTGTCCCATCATGCCCTGCTCCAATGCCACAGTCCCTGATGGAGAGTGCTGCCCCCGGTGTTGGCGTAAGTCCCCCGAACCGCACAGCCCCGCGGCGCCCAGTCACTGCCACACACGCGCTGGAGCCCCACGGCCACCCCCGTGTGCTTCCGTTCCGTTGTTTGCTGCAGCATCTGGTGAACTGCTGGCGTGTTTGCTGTATAAAGCCAAAAACCCCATTATGACTAAATCTTAATTACCCCTCTGGGTGATGGCACAGGCAGTAGCAATCTTGGTGCAGCTCATTGATCCTGATTATATGCCTTGAGGAAGAGAGAGAGAACTTGTTGCAGCAATAAGTCTAAGTTGACTGCTTCTAGAATTTGACTCTACGGCTTAGAGTTAAGGAAAATCTGCTCACCAGGAAAATTGATGGGCTGTAGTGTGAGCATTGGGCTTAGGGGGACCTAGAGCTTCTGCCCAGTGTGTCTGTAGGAGCAGGAGGCCAAAAGAAGGACAGTCTGGGCTTCAGGGCACCAGCAGAAATGAGGCACCACGCTGTCCCATGGCATCCCGTCCCTGGCTCTCGTGGCCTGTGTGTGAATTACTCACTGTGCTGGGACAGCACTGACGATAGCAGGTGCAAGTCCAAAACCCATGCAGTGCACCAAAACAGGACCTTAAGCGGGAGAGCAGCACCCGCCCTGCGCACGCTCCTGCACCGGCACCCACTGGCACAGCTCTGAGCAACCAGCCCCAGCCAGGGGTCATGATCGGGATGGTGGCACTGGGGCAGTCGCTTGCTTTTCTAGTTCTGTCCGGTATGCACTTCAGCTGTGGGTTAGCGAGAACAAAGCGAGCTGGGGACTAGTGGAGTTTTGAGCTTGAGTCGGGGATTGCCAGGAAAACTTCCAGCTGACGGCGAGAGGACACGAGTTCTCCATCTCGTGTCTGCTGCAGCTGGGCGTGAGCGTAGTCCTGGCGCCTGGGCAGGTGGCAGACAAACACGTTCTCCTGTAAAAGACGTGCAGAGAAGGCCCCACACGCTCAGGCGAGAGGGGCGACGCACCGATTAACTCCATGACTGAGCTGGAGCCCAGGGCCAACAGCCGCTGAGCGGCCTGGAAGCTCACCTGCCGAACGCACGGCCTCGGGCTCCCCGAAACGTCAGAAGTGGCTCCTACACACTGCCTAAAACTCGGGTGTTCTTGGAAGCCTGGGACTGGACATGCCTACCGATAGATCTTAAGTCAGGAAAGGGAAACTCATTTGAAATGCTGAGGGAGGAGAAAGGAAGCGGCGGTGAACAGAACACCCACGGGGACGGGGCTGAGCTGTGCCGCCCGGACAACGCATTCAGTTACCCCACACAGTGCCCGTCCTGACCTGGGATAAACCCCTTGGCGGCTGGCCTAAGAAATCTCTTGCTTTTCACCCTTTGGCAAGGGAAGAAAGCCCTGAGCAAAGCAGTCTAAAACAGTCGTAACGACCACACATTAAATGAACCCATCTCCTCTGCAGCCAGCGACTCCGCGGACGATGGCTGGTCCCCCTGGTCCGAGTGGACCTCCTGCTCCGCAACCTGCGGCAACGGGATCCAGCAGCGCGGCCGCTCCTGTGACAGCCTCAACAGCCGGTGCGAGGGCTCCTCCGTCCAGACACGCACCTGCCACATTCAGGAGTGTGATAAGAGATGTAAGCATCTTGGCCCCTTAGGGGTGTGGAGAACTGGCCTCTGCTGGCCATCCCCTAGAGCAGCCCCACAGCGCGGGTTCCAGACTCTCTGGATCTGAAGCCCGGTGCTGCTGTCTGCCCATGCACCCTTGAGTGCCGCTGGCCCTCTCAGGCTCCGCGTCTGCGCTCTGGGGCCAATGATAGTCCTCAATAGGGCTGTCTTGAGGAGTTTAGTTAGATACTGCATTTCAGGCAGTTAGCACAGAGGTCGGCTCACGGTAAGCACCGATAACCATCAGCTCTGAACTTTAGTCAAACAGGATGGCGGCTGGAGCCACTGGTCGCCGTGGTCGTCTTGTTCTGTGACGTGCGGTGAGGGTGTGATCACCAGGATCCGGCTCTGCAACTCCCCCAGCCCCCAGATGGACGGGAAACCGTGCGAAGGCGAAGCTCGGGAGACCAGGGCCTGCCAGAAAGACGCCTGCCCTGGTGAGTGAGCACGCGGCCGGCCGAGAGCTGAGCCCCCGTGGCAGCTCTGCCCTGCTGCTCACCCGGCATCTGACCCCTCTGCTCAGTGCCTCATGGAGGGGAAAGGTTACTTTCTAGAAAAACAAACAAGCAAAGTCCTACATACTCAGCAGCTTCTTGTAATGAAAAACAGAAGGAAAGCCATTTCAAGCTCTCCCTCTTCCCATTCTTCACGTGTCAGGGTAGCAGTGTTTTCTTGAACAAACTTAGGAGAGTCGTCTGTGACAGGGCAGGTGTTTGAGATGGACCTTAACTTCCGCATGTGGTTTGCTTTCTTCTAGTCAATGGAGGCTGGGGTCCCTGGTCACCGTGGGACATCTGTTCCGTCACCTGTGGAGGAGGGGTACAGAAACGCAGCCGGCTCTGCAACAACCCTGCCCCCCAGTTTGGAGGCAAGGACTGCATTGGGGAAGTGATGGAAAACCAGGTCTGCAACAAGCAGGACTGTCCAATCGGTGAGTCACGCAGCCCGGGACAAACCCAGCCTGGGGTTCCCACTGACCGCATGTCAGGGTCAGCACTCAAGGGCCTCCTGGCTCTGAGTAGTGCTGAGCAGTTCGATTGCTCTGAGATGCGGGATGGACAGCATAACCTCTGGTTAGCAGTTACATAGTCCCTACAGCATCTCCCACTGCGTCGTGTCCTCACGGACTGGCACAGCAGGGAACGGCAGCCAGACCAACCGTTTCTCGTCTGTCCCGCCTCAGATGGGTGCCTGTCCAACCCCTGCTTTGCCGGCACCAACTGTACGAGCTACCCTGACGGCAGCTGGAAGTGTGGGGCTTGTCCCCCTGGCTACAGCGGAAACGGCATCCACTGCAAAGATGTCGACGAGGTGAGACGCTGACGGCTCACTGTTCCCGCTTCTGGGAAGGCGGTTCACCTGCGCCCCTCCTTTCCTGCGGCAGTGTTTGCACACAGTGAGCAAACTGCTTTCCTTCCGCAGTGCAAGCTCGTGCCTGACGCCTGCTTCAGCCACAACGGAGAGCACAGGTGTGAGAACACAGACCCCGGCTACAACTGCCTGCCCTGCCCGCCGCGCTTCACGGGCCCGCAGCCCTATGGCCGGGGCGTGGAGCACGCCACAGCCCACAAACAGGTGCATGCGGGGCCCGCCTGGTGGGCTGCACGGAGGACGGGTGTCTCCGGCCGAAACACCAGGACAGGGAGGAATGTCGTTTCATCCTCTTCACAGAAAAACAGGGGAGGGGGTGAACGCCCAGTCCAGCTTTTAGAATCATGACTAGAAAACCCACGGTAAACCCAGCAGTGCATCACACTTGAAAATGCTGCTCTCGGATGAGCTGTGAGCCGATAGAGCCATAAACCCAGAGCAGGAGAGACACACACAAAGCGATGTCCACCTGTAAGCCAGACACTGCAGGGGAGCGCGGGGAGGGACAGAAGTGGCCCATACTGTTCCCCGTGGAAACCGTCCCAACACGATAAAGATCTGGGTTCTTCCTGCTTCCGCGGCACCTGGAAACTCGTGACATCAGGATGTTGTCCCCGCAGGTGTGCAAGCCCCGCAACCCGTGCACAGACGGGACGCACCACTGCAACAAAAACGCCAAGTGCAACTACCTGGGCCACTACAGCGACCCCATGTACCGCTGCGAGTGCAAGCCCGGCTACGCCGGCAATGGCGTCATCTGCGAGGAGGACACCGACTTGGACGGCTGGCCCAACGAGGACCTGGTGTGCGTGGCCAACGCCACCTACCACTGCAAAAAGGTAAAATCCTCCCCCTTGTGAGCCCCAGAGGGAAGGCACGTCAAAAGAGCAGGCTGGGGAATTGTAAATGCTTCAAGCTCGAAAATGAAACCGAAAGAGGGTGTCACCCCGAGGCAGAGCAGCACTGATTCTCAGCAGCAGGGAAGCGCTCGGTGCCAAGGACGTGGCTGTGCCAGGCCCTTCTGGCACTGGCGTCCCTCAGTCTGTTATTTTGTCCCCGAAGAAGGGTTCACTTCCCTGCTGAGTACTAGCAGGCAGTGTGGCTTGTGTTTCCAGCACACAGAAGGCCTAGAGCATCTGCACAGACTTTATATGTAGCCCTATATATCCCCCAAGAAAACGTTTAATTTTTTTGTGTTCCTGTAAAAAATGTGTCGTTATGGAGGAGCAGTCAGTCGTCCATATGCGGGTGGAACGGAGCACGTGCGGACAGCAGCTGTAGCGTGTGTCTTCTCTCTGCAGGACAACTGCCCCAACCTGCCCAACTCCGGGCAGGAGGACTACGACAAGGACGGGATCGGCGACGCATGTGACGATGACGACGACAACGACAAAATTCCAGACGAAAGGGTAAAAACACGTTTCCGTTCCTTTCACCTTTGCTGTTCACAAACAGCCTGAAACACTGTAAGGTTCAGAGTCATAGGGAAAAATATACAAACTGATACATGGAATAATGAGAAATTACTCACTGTGTTTCAGCAGGTTGAGGACGTAGATGTTGCCGAGAGAACTTGTAAAGGAGGGTTTTGCTCTTCATCACAGCCTTCCCTCCCCTCATTTGAGCGCGAGACTCCACATATAAACAAGTGACCTTGCTCCCCAGACTCATCTCCGATGCCGAATCTAAATGCCAGTAGAATCTGCTTCGGGCATAGTGAGAACTGAGATGGGCTTATGTTTACATCTCACTGACTGATAACCAGCAGGATAGTCCACATACAAACAAGTGACACTTTGCTCCCCAGATCCATTATGTCCTGGCTTTTACCTCGGGCAGTGATCGGCTCACACCGAGCACCCAGTCAGCGCAGCCGCTGGGTGGGAACCCTGCTGCGGCGTTCCGCGGCATCCAGGCGTGTCGTGCACGTGCTCGCAGCCCGGGGCTGGCTGCTCACGGTGTGGTGACGTGCTCTCTTCCCGCTCTTCACAGGACAACTGTCCGTTCCACTACAACCCAGCGCAGTACGACTACGACCGAGACGACGTGGGGGACCGCTGCGACAACTGCCCCTACAACCACAACCCAGACCAGGCCGACACAGACAGCAACGGGGAAGGGGACGCCTGTGCCGCCGACATCGATGGGGATGGTGAGGCGCCCCCTGACCCCAGCAGGCCCGCAGGGGGGCGGTGACCACACTCAGCTTTCGAGTGATTTTTCCCAGCCCTGGCTGTCGAGTGTGGGGTTTGGTTGAAACGACAGGCTGCAGATTTCAGCTGGCTTTTCGACCCCCATTCTCTGCAGGCATTCTCAATGAACGAGACAACTGCCAGTACGTCTATAACGTGGACCAGAGGGACACCGACATGGACGGGGTCGGCGATCAGTGTGACAACTGCCCTCTGGAGCATAACCCAGACCAGGTAGGTGGACTCCTTCCACACCCTTCGGTCAAGGACTGGAGCACCCCTCCCAGGCCTCGGAAGCACAGAGTGCAGGCACTCCCATCACCGTGGCCCTCCTTGGCCTCGCAGCCCATTCCTGCGCTTCTCTGTGAACAGTTTGCCGGTGCACTGTCCTGGCAGAGCCCCATGGAGCTCAGTGTGACAGTGTTGTCAGTTCAACTCGTCTGTGCAGGGAGGTCTGAGCGACTTGTTCAGCATGATGGACCATTGGGATAGCTTTATACAAAGTAGAAAAATCTGTAACTGACAACTCTAATAACATTAATCATATTTAAGACTAAAAGATGAAAGAAAATACCCTTAAGCAAAATAACCATCTTCTTGGCTAATGATGTAATCTGGCTGAGAGAAAATCATCGAACTAAAAATACTCCCCCTGAACTGGAGAAATCCCTGTCATCGTCACAAGTGTTTGGTGTTGCAAAGACACACTGTTCTCCCCCCGTGCTGGGCAGTGCTACAAGCAGGCATTAGCCAGGACAGCGCCCACGTCCGGAAGTGTGCCTTTGCTTCTGCAGTTGCCCATCATTATTTCCTAGGAACAAAAGTTAGGTAATTTTTTTTCTAAAATGCATTGTTCTGAAAATTTAGAAACCAACTTTTAAAAAGGGGAGATATTTTTATAAGATTCAAGACACAACAAAGCTGTCTTTTCCTCCCAGTATTTGTTCTTAGGATGGGCTGTAAAACAAAAGGCAAGAGGGTAAAGAGTCCGGGCCATAAGGGGAAAGTGTGAATGGCCTGAGATGGCTCTGAGGGCCCAAGGGCACCGAGGGCCATATTTTCAGATTGGGTCTTACCATCAGTTAAACCTTTTCACTACCATGTAACCTCCCTGGGTGACTTTTTGGTTCCTCAGACTGTGATCAAACCTATAACAAAATTCAGGCATCATGTAAAAACCTTACTAGCAAAGAGCATAAATTCTGGCAGGACAAATCTCTCCTTGTATATAAATAAATTTTTAAGCACCCCATGCACACTGGATGATATAAAAGGACTCTGAGAAACACAGCTTCAAAAACCCTGAGAGTTCTGACTTTACCTGAGCCAACAGATGGCAATCTTTATGGACCAGTCAAATAAAAGCAAACACCTAAAAATAAGATAACTCACTGATCCCTACCATCTGAACCGCCCAGCGTGCACAAAACAGGGCCAGGGCTGTGTTTCCGTGACGTGACGGCCTAGGGTAGCAGTTCACATGTCAACCAACAAGTTTCAACTGAAACCCTTCAATTGGAAAATAATGAAATGTACCCAAAGGATTTAACTTCACATTAAACTAGACGCAGTTACCATTGCACTTCATCCTTTGTGATTAAGTAGTGCTTACTACTTCGTTTTATTTAGAATGTGTTATATTTTTAAAAAGCTCAAATATCCCTTTTCAAATTTTCATGTGAAAACAAGGATCAAGAAAAGAAGTAACACTGGTTAATGCTACTGTCTCTTGGCAGTAATGTGTTGGGTGTAGGTCTCCACTGGCCTCTCAGACGTCAGAAGGAGACCCTTCCCTGAGTTAGAACTCAGTTCCCTGAGTTAGAACTGACGTTGGGAATTTACTCCTCCATTCGCCTCCGTCTCTCCCTTCCAGCTGGACTCCGACTCAGACCGCATCGGAGACACCTGTGACAACAACCAGGATATCGATGAGGACGGCCACCAGAACAACCTGGACAACTGTCCCTATGTGCCCAATGCCAACCAGGCCGACCATGACAAAGACGGCAAGGGAGACGCCTGTGACCACGACGATGACAACGACGGCATTCCCGATGACAGGGACAACTGCAGACTCGTGCCCAACCCTGACCAGAAGGACTCTGATGGTGAGTCGGGAGAGCCCCTTTTTAGGAGAGTGACTGAGTTGGTGGCTCTCCAGATTGAGGAACAGTAACACAGCTGAATGCATTCGGGAGGGTGAAGAGCCCAGATGCCAACATAGACAAGATTGTGAGTTTCTGACACTGTGATAATAGTATTTCAGGATTTCACTGAACTCTCGCTTCTTTCCCTTAGGTGACGGCCGAGGTGATGCTTGCAAAGATGATTTTGACCATGACAGTGTGCCGGACATCGATGACATTTGCCCTGAAAACGTTGACATCAGTGAGACTGACTTCCGCCGATTCCAGATGATTCCTCTGGACCCCAAAGGGACATCCCAAAATGACCCTAACTGGGTGGTCCGCCATCAGGGTAAAGAACTCGTCCAGACCGTCAACTGTGACCCTGGACTTGCTGTAGGTGAGTAGTGAGTTCTTTGAACGGAAGGCTAATTCATACGTGGGGAAGAAGCAAGTAAAAAACCTGGCTGTTGTGTGCATCCCTATGGGGACTAAGGATGTCTGGGAATGTGATAGAGAACCTTCTGAAAGCAGCAGCTTTTAATTTGGGTCTGGCCTCATCCTCAAGGTTACGATGAGTTCAATGCCGTGGACTTCAGTGGCACCTTCTTCATCAACACCGAAAGGGATGACGACTACGCCGGGTTTGTGTTTGGCTACCAGTCCAGCAGCCGTTTCTATGTTGTGATGTGGAAGCAGATCACCCAGTCCTACTGGGACACCAACCCCACACGGGCTCAGGGATACTCAGGCCTTTCCGTGAAAGTCGTGAACTCCACCACGGGGCCCGGCGAGCACCTGCGGAATGCCCTGTGGCACACAGGAAACACCCCTGGCCAGGTAGGAGCGACTCCTGCAGAGGGAGCAAGGGGACGGGCCCTCCACGAGCACTGGGGACACTGTGCTTTTGGCCAAGAGGCAGAAGGAGTCTTAGGTGCCATGACCCCAGCAGCACCAGCTGCAGGACTGAGCTCTGCTTTGCGAAACCACGGTCTTATCTGAGACGGGAGCACCATCCCTGGGGCTGCCCTTCAAATCCAAAGGCAGTTTCAGCCTCTTCAACAAAAAGCCTCCCTCACTCCTCTCTCTCTTTTTTATGTGCTTTCAAGGGCACACGTCAAATGAAAGAGGGAAGCCTTAGGAAAAAACCTGCATTTCAGCCCTCTAACCTAGGTCAACCTGGTACCTTTCACTGTTCCTTGTAGAATGAAACATGTGTTTCAACCTGTTCCTTTTCCTTCAGGTGCGCACTCTGTGGCACGACCCTCGTCACATAGGCTGGAAAGATTTCACCGCCTACAGATGGCGTCTCAGCCACAGGCCAAAGACTGGCTTCATCCGGTAAGGCTGCAGTGACGGAATTTGGTCACAACAATGGGCGAGAAGGCAGAGACTGAAACGGGGACTAATGAGATTTTCTTTTTTCCTGCAGAGTGGTGATGTACGAAGGGAAGAAAATCATGGCAGACTCAGGACCCATCTATGACAAAACCTATGCTGGCGGCAGGCTAGGGCTGTTTGTCTTCTCTCAAGAAATGGTGTTCTTCTCTGACCTGAAGTACGAGTGCAGAGGTAGGAGCCACGTTACGTGAATGTGCAGCTGACATCTCTAATTCAGACCAGTGTCAAGGACATCAGTTATGGGAGAGGCTGAACTCAAGACTATGTTACAAAGTCGTCTGTATTGTGCTGTTGAGAACACAATGATAAAAATTAAATAAGGCCTATCAACGGTGGCTTATGGAATCCTGAGTCTTATTAACAATATTAATTTACTTAGCAATCTGTGTTCTTCATACACAGTGCCAAGTAAACTGAAGATGAGCTCCTGTCCAGTTTAGACCACACTGATACTACTTAAAATTTGACGTTTCTACACTTCACTCCTCATAATTTCATTTATGCCACAGCAGCACAAGTTGCTTTTCAAACCTTTGCCTGTTGTACGTAGAAGGGAAAGGAGTACTGCCTTCACACTGGACGTTAATATTCACCGCTAACCTTAGCTGCTTGTTCTCCATTCCCGTTCACTCAGTGGTTACTTAGTCTCAGCACTGGGCCTACCAAAAAAAATAAATGTGCCATAAATGTTTACTGGGACAAGGCCTAATGCCAACAAAATCAATTAGAGTAAAAAAAAGTTAATTTTACTCAAAATACTTAAAAATTCAGACTCGCAGACTGAATCACAGTAACATAAAACACCCTAACCTTCACACGCTGAAAGCCCTGGAGGGCACCGCCCAGGTTCGGTGAGGCCGGGCGGCAGCAGTGTCCCAGCAAGCATGTTCAGACGCGGCAACGTTTAATTTTATACGCTGACCATCTTCAATTATGCTTTTGTCGTTATAAAAGTAGAGCTATACCTCAGGTGTTTATTCATTAATGGATATTAAGATGACAGTCCCTTTGTGAACGAGTTTTTGTTTATCTGTTTGTGTTTGTTATTTTAACAGATTCCTAATCTTCAAACTGTTGATCAAAAGACTGATCATAACCGATGCCGGTATTGCACCTTCTGGAACTATGGGCTTAAGAAAACCCCCAGGGTCACGCCTCCCTGCCTGCCCTTTTCCTCTGCTTGCATCAGTGCGGACTCCTAAACCACATGACTTGACTCAAGAAAATGCAATTTTCCGAATCAGACTCAGCATTCAGCCTCTGAATAAGAAGAGAATCTTCCAAGAATATAAATGATTACTTTGGTTTACTTTTGGAAAAAGCAAAAGCATCCACCTGCTTCAGTTGGGAAGGTGCCAGCTCCACTCGCCTTTTGTCAGAGCAGGGTGCCCTTGTGAGGCCACCTGAGCAGTGGGCCCAAAAGCGCTTTCAGGCGTGTGAGAGGAGGGAGGACTCAAGAGAATTGGCAAACGAAACCACTGCTGTCCTAGTCCCTCGGGAACAGGGGGCGCGCAGGGGCCAAAGCCCTAAGGGGAAGGGCGCAAACCCAAGAGATGATTGTATGAGGAGAACATGGAGGAACTGTTACACATTCGGTACTAAACCATTTTCAGGGGATTGAAAGACTGTTGCTGGATTTCATGATGCTGACTGACGTTAGCTGATAGGCACTTAAATAGAGGCAGGGGAGGGAGGCGAGGACTGACTTCTGGACTTCCTCTTGGATGCCCACCCCTTACACGTCGCATATAGTGACCAGAGTAGGGAGGCAGGATTAAACCAGAGGGCAAGGCAGCGCTGGCTGCCACTGCCTGGTTACACTGAAATTGTTGGTTTCATTCTAGATGTAGCTCGTGCAGATGTAGCAGGAAAATAAGAAAACCTACCATCTCAGTGAGCACCACGCTGCCTCCCAGGGAGGGGCAGCTATGCTTGTATTTTCATGGTTAGAAAGGCACAAAATTATTGACTTAACTAAAACATTCCTTTTCTCTCTTTTGTCCTGAATATCGTGGAGTTTTCTAATTCTCTTTTGGACTAATTTTGTTTTCTTTTTTTACACTTTACAATGTAAAATATTTATTTTTTACTTACTCTGGAGAACCTATCTGAAAGACTTCATGGGACAGGAAGAAGCGTAAGGACTATCCCCATCATCTTTGAGTCTTCATGACTGTAAGGTTGTAAATACAGATTATTTATTAACTCTGTTCTACCTGGAACCTAGGTTTCGTACGGAAAGCGAGAGCAGGTAGTTGAGATTCGTCAGCAAATCTCACAAGAAGGGCACAAGGAAAGTCAGCAGAGCAAGCTGCTCTTCACTTTGTGCCTAAGTGATCTGGGATTTTGTTCCTTGTCTTTCCCGGTGGAATGAGCCGGCTGTCCACCCGCAGGTGTTTGAGACGGCACAGAGAGCCACAATGCCTTTGTTCCTGGTGCACCCCGCCCCTCGTGCCTATTTCCAGGGAGAGAGAAGCATCTCTGCTTATTTTTCATTTTTCCAAAAGAAAAAAATGACAAAGGTGAAACTTATATACAAATATTACCTCATTTGTTGTGTGACTGAGAAAAGGATTTTTGGCTCAAGCAGAAAGAGTTTAAGTGTCTAACAAACTTAAAGCTACTGTAGCACCTAAACAAGTTGACGTTGTATATAGTATAAAAACTCTGCAGAAAAGTATTCCCAGTAAGGAAATAGCATTGAAATGTTAGATACATTTTCTGAAAGTTATTTTTTTCTATCATCTTGTATACCATTGCTTTATTTTTATAAATTATTTTCTCATTGCCATTGGAATAGATATCTCAGATTGTGTAGATATGCTATTTAAATAATTTATCAAGAAATACTGCCTGTAGAGTTAGTATTTCTATTTTTATAAAATGTTTGCACACTGAATTGAAGAATTGTTGGTTGTTGTTTTGTTTTTGATTTGATTGCTTGCCCCCTCGCCCAGTTTTTACTATTTGCCAATACCTTTTTCTAGGAATGTGCTTTTTTTGTACATTTTATCCATTTTGCATTCTAAAGCAGTGTAAGTTGTATATTACTGTTTCTTATGTACAAGGAACAACAATAAATCATATGAAAATTTATATTTATACTTACTGTACACATGTTTATTTGTCCTCTACTGGCTTTATGTGATGAGGTATGGGTAAATTCCATTCTTAAACCAGTATGGCATATATAAAAAAATCCCAGTTAACATTCATAGTTTCTATACAATTTTAAAAGACTGCGTTGCTTAGAATACACACTTGCTGGATTTGTGGAATAAAGAACGAAACAAATTAGTCTGCCACACTGAAAATACAGAAAAAAACAACCCCCAATATGTGGGCCCCAAAAGTATACAATACCGTATTTTATTAATGTCATTTATTGAATGCTTTTCAAAATCTTTCTGTTAAAAAAATAAACTGGGGGAGGCAGGATAGAAGCATATAAATTCTTGAACCTACATTTCAAAAAATTCTTTATTCATTTACAGTTGTCCCACTTTTTCCTCCATTCTCCCCTGCCCACCCCTTCCACATTCAATCCTTCCCCTCACCCTGTTGTCCTTGTCCATGGGTCCTTTACACATGTTCCTTGACCCTTCCCCTTCTTTCCCCCATTATTTCCCTCCCACCTCCCCTCTGGTCACTGTCAGTTTGTTCTTTATGTCAATGTGTCTGGTTCTATTTTGCTCACTTGTTTATTGATTAGATTCCTCTTATAGGTGAGATCATATGGTATTTGTCTTTCACTGCCTGGCTTATTTCACTTAGCATAATGCTCTCCAGTTCCATCTGTGCTGTCACAAAGGGCAGGTGCTCCTTTCTTTCTGCTGTGTAGTATTCCACTATGTAAATGTACTGCAGTTTTTGATCCACTTATTTACTGATGGGCATATAGGCTGTTTCCAATACTTGGCTATTGTAAATTGTGCTGCTATGAACACTGGGGTCCATAAGTTCTTTTGAATTGGTGTTTCAGGGTTCTTAGGGTATGGTCCCAGCAGTGGAATTGCTGGGTCAAAAGGCAGATCCATCTTTAGTTTTCTGAGGAAGTTCCATACTGCTTTCCAGTGGCTGCACCAGTCTGCATTCCCACCAACAGTGCCCTAGGGTTCCTTTTTGTCCACAACCTCGCCAGCACGTGTTGTTTGTTGATTTGCTAATGACGGTCGTTCTAACCCACGACTGATGGCACTGGATGAGCAACATGCTGCGAGCTGTGGAGAAGCTTTAAAATTAAGTGTTACGAGGGAGGAATTGTCCTTGAAAAATTGAGCCAAACTCTACAAAATATCACATTTTAGAGAATTAATATAACTTTCACCAAAAACAGATGACTAAAGACAAATCCTAAAAAATACATATACCTAGAAAATATCAAATTATTTTATGAAGAGGACAAAGCATTGACATAAGCAGATGTTAAGTTTTAGGTGGGCTAACCATGAATGTTAACTGACCAATTAACTTAAGGCTTTAATAAAAACAAGTAGAATAAAAATGTTGTAAGTAGTTAAGGGTCTGGCTTTGAGGTCCATTAAATACTAGAAAGGACTGAGCAAGACAGAATCTTCCTTTGTTTTTCTCTTTCATTCTAAAAACATTTACCTAGGCTGTATCATATGTAAGTATAAATTGCCAAATCATTCTATGGCACTCAGGTGAAAAATCATGAACTAGAGGTGGGAATAGTTATAGAGTTTAAAAAACTAATTTGAAAAAATGATTCTTTGAAACATGGTATCATTCATTCTCAGGGTAGCTCAACAAGTGAAGTCTTGGGAGAGAATTCTGATTCACTTTTAAGTAGCAGATGAAAAGTAACGGAAAATACCCAGGTGGGCCATAGAAAGTGGGAAGAAGAGCTTGATTCCCAGGCATGCTTCATGTTATCACAGACTGACCTTCAAATCAGCAGTTGTATCAAAATAAAGAACTTAGTAAAAATTAAAATTATGACATCAAGGTGATAGCTTTTTCTTCCTTTTCCTTCCTACAAGTGTTTATTGTCACTCCCGGTCAGGATAACAGAGTAGGTGAACGTGTGCACCTCCTCTGAAAACCACATCAGAATTCCCTCTGATTTACAGGACCACCACCCTTCAGAACCGCCTGACAGCTAGCTGCACCATAGTCTTATAACTAAGGACATAAAGAAGCCCCATCAAGGGTGGTAGGAGAGGCAGAGACACAAAATGAGCTTGTCCCACACCCACTGTGGCCATTGAGAATCTGGAGGGATGCCCCCACTGCGGAGGTCCCCCTTGAGGAGCAAGGGGTCCCAGCTCCACACAAGATTACCCAGCCCAGGGCACCAGTGCTGGGAAGGGGAGTCTCCATGACATCTGCTGTGAGAATCAGCAGGGATTGCATCCAAGTGAGAGGGAGGGCTGGTGGAGTCCCAACTGGTGCTGGTAAGGGGTCCACAAACAGGCTTGCTCACACTCACTTGCTCTGGGCACAGCGGCAGCAGCTAACAAGGGCCATGGACTTACAGAGAGGAAATGAAGTGAAGGATGGAGCGGCAAGAGTCAGGGTGGCCCTCTCTGGGGACAGAAGTGCCACCGCCCCACTGCATCTTTGTTGAGCCTGCCCACCACCCAGCCTGCAGGCACAGATGGGCGCCAAACCTGAGAGCTCTACTAACCTGGTTAACACTATCTGCCCTGCCTGGAAGTTTCCGGAGGCCCCATCCCTCCCACATCTCACGACTGGCCCAAGCCTCTTCCAGCAGATTTTTTTACACAAGCAGCCTGTCTCAACTCATACTATGGACTTGCCTAAAATCTCCCAAAGGTCCAAAAACCCCAAACAAGTAGCAGCTGGCCTTGGCATGCCCTATACCTCTCGCTAAGCAGCTCTAAGCCCAACACAAGTGGCAACCATTCTCAACTTGCACTGTAACTCCCATCAGGTGGCCCTAAGACTGGAATAAGCTGTGGCCAGTGCTGGCTTGGAACATAGCTTCAACTAAGTGGCCCACAAACCCAGCAAAAGTGGCAGCTGACCTCAGCTCCCATTGTGGTGCCCACCAAAGGGTACCAGGCTCAGCACTAGTAGCAGCTAGCTTTGGTCCACGGCATAGCCTCTCCTAAGTGCATCCAAACCCAGGGCAAGCAGCAAAGAACTGCAGATCACTCTGTAGTTCCCACCAGGCAGCTCCAAGCCAAACACAAATGACAGCAGACCTTGGCCTGCTCTGGACCCTTCCCCAAGAGGTACAGAACCAACACACATATGGCCAGCTTCAAACCACACCAGAGAACCCCCAACCAGCTCCACAAATGACACACTAGAAGGGCTGATTCAGCTGGCACCAGAGCCCAGCTAAAGCAACTCCCACTCTATGGGGTCAGCCCCTAAAAAACAGCTATCCTCTGTAGTCACAGCCAATCCTCACAGTGAGTCAGCCCAAAGGTCAATCCTACCCACTGACATGCCAACAGCCATCAAGGGTCAACTATAACAAGAGAGCACATATAACCTACACAAGGATACTCCAGCTCAGATGAACAGTGGATTGGGCCACTGGACCTCATAGGACACCTACTACATAAGGCCACTCTGCCAAGACTGGGAGACACAGCAGATCTACCTAGTACATAGAAACAAACACAGGGATGCAGCCAAAATGAGGAAACAAAGAAGCATGTCCCAGATGAAAGAAAAGGACAGAATTCCAGAAAAACAACTAAACAAAATGGAGGCAAGCAATCTACCAGATTCAGAATTCAAGACGCTGGTTATAAGGATGCTCAATGAACTTAGGGAAAGAGCAGATGAGCTCATTGATAACTTCAACAAAGAGGAAACATAAAAAGGGGGATAGAAGACATTAAATCTGGTCAGGATCCTCAGTTGGTTAGAGTTTCATTCCAATACATCAAGGTTGTGGTTCAGTCCTGGTCATGGAACATATAAGAATCAACTAGTAAATGCATAAATAAGTGGAACAACAAATCAATCTCCCGATCTCTCTCCCCCTCCCTTCCTCACTCACTCCTTTCCTCTTTCTCTCTCTTTCTCTACCCTCCTTTCTTTCTCTAAAATCAATAAATTAAAAAAATTTTGAAGAAAACATTAAAAGTCAGAATTGAAGAATACAATGACTGGAATGAAGAATACTAAGATGGAATCAACAGTGGATTATATGAAGCAGAGACTGAATCAGTAATTGGAAGACAAGGTAGTAGAAAATACCCAATCAAAACAGCAAAATAAAGAAGAATTTTAAAAAATGAAGATAGTTAAAAGACCCCTGGGATAACATTAATCATACCAACATTTGCATCATAGAGGTACCAGAAGGAGAAGAGAGAGTGCAAGGGATTGAAAACCTGTCTGGAGAAATAATGACTGAAAACTTCCCTAAATGTGGCAAAAGGAAATAAACATACAAGTACAGGAAGCAAAGAGAGTCCCAAAAAAGATGAGCCCAAAGAGACCCACACCAAGATACATCATAATTAAAATGTCAAAGGCTAAAGATAAAGACAGAATCTTAAAAGCAGCAAGAGAAAAGCAGTCAGTTACCTACGAGGAAGTCCCATAAGACTGTCAGCTTTTTTCTCAACAGAAACTTTGCAGGCCAGAGGATGTGGCACAAAATATTTGATGTGATGAAATGCAAGATGAGCAATCATGATTACTCTACCTAGTAAGGCTATAATTTAGAATCAAAGGAGAGATCAAGAATTTCCCAGATAAGAAAAAGCTAAAGGAGTTCATCACCTCTAAACCAGCATTACAAGAAATATTAAAGAGACTTCTTTAAGTGAAAAAGATCAAACATATGAATAAGACAACATGAAAGAAAAAATTACCACTGATAAAGGCAAACAGTAAAATCCATGGATCAACCATAAAGTTAGAACAAAGGTTAAAAAACAAAAGTAGGAAAATCATGTGTAATCACAATAATAAATTAAGAACACATACACAAAAAAGAAGTAAAAATAATGACAAAAATATAAACATGGAGGGAATAAGTAAAAATGGTAGTGATTTTAGAATGTGTTTGAACTAAGCAAACATCATCTTAATACAGACTGCTATAAACATAGTACATATGAAGCACACAGCAACCACAAACAAAATCT